GTGACTCGCGACCCTCAGATTGCGAGTCGAGCGCCCTAACCACCCGGTCATGCCGGGCCTAATATACAACTGACTGGCGGGTTCGAATCCCCGTCACACCAAACATGCTCGTCTTTTCAGCCGTGGGTGCGTTATAATGTTACGGTGAATCCCACTATTCGTTGGTAAAAGAGTAGCCCAAGAGTTGGCGGTGGGTGGTGATGACTAGCTGCCTTCCCTCTAGTCTTTTACTGCTAAATTATGGATGGCTAGCGCAGATAGCCCTCGTGTAGCTTTACGCGAAATTCAAAACAAACCAAACCATACCAGTTGTATATTATATATGCGAATTCTCCACCGAAACTTTTTACCAACGAGGAAAGGTGTTATTTATTTAAGAATTAATTTAAACACAGATAATCAGCGTTTACTGGACCATTTACTGAGTGAAAAGCTAAACGCATTTCATTGAATTATTAATCAATCGGTTAACAAGCAGCAAAAATAAACATATTTAAAGTAACGTTAACAGATATAATCAAGGTTAATAGGTACCATTTGAACATGCAGCTTTCGGTAAGGGTCGTGTATCGGTGCCTGTATGTTTCATGTGGTTTGATTTTGTTGTTGACCTGTAGATGTGGAGCTCTTCACGTCGGGGACCACATACTAGCTATTGATGGAACTAGAACTGACCAGATGACGGTTGCAGAGGCCTCCCAGCTTCTCAAGAGTTCACTTAAGGAAGTCGTCAAATTGGAAGTCTTCCCCATCATTCAGGTACTCAGCCACAAAGTCCCGGATGTCGTTGCCAGCAGAGGTAATGGAACGAATTTTGGCAGTAGTTTAGTGGTAGTTAGAGAATAAATTACCATCCAATTATATTAGTTGGGTTTTAAAACTTCTCTGTGTGGGTTTGTATGTAATAAAAATTAGATATTATGTTAATAATTCTTTTTATAGGTATAATAAATACTAGTAAACCTTTATTGTAGGATTATCAGTTAAACGTTTGTATGTCCTTATGTAGGCTTCATGCCCTTCTCAAGTGCAGGACAATTGGGTTCAAGATTTGCCCACAACAACTTGTCTTCCATTGGGAACAATGCTTCTGCTCCATCAAGGAAGGCATTTCCTGTATCTCTGCAACCATCAACCAAAGGCAGATTGGGTCGACAGCTGAGTAAAAGGAAATGTACATCCAATTCTGTGAAAACATGCTTTTCGAGTGGTAAACACATTTTTGAATCTTTTTGTTTTTTTACATTTTCGTATTTCTTATGTCAAGTACGACTTTAATATTTGGGCCTACGTTAGATCTAAAGTGTCAAGTTCGACTTTAATATTTGGGCCTACGTTAGATCTAAAGTGTCAAGTTCGACTTTAATATTTGGGCCTACGTTAGATCTAAAGTGT